GTAGAATGAGAAGTTAAGTGTGGTAGCTCATACCTGTAATCCCACACCTCCAGAGACTGAATTAGAAGGACTATGGATTTGAAGCCAGGCTCAACTATGTAACAAGACACTGTCTCCAAAAGCAAAGAAATATGGCATGAGGATCCAAAGGAGATGCCAGGGGTTGGGGCTTCTGTGACTGAGTAGGTAGGTCTGCACTTGTGGGAGTAGAGTAAGCACTGTCTGGGCATGCCGGATATGCGATGTGCTGTGAGACACCCAAGAAGAGCCATCTGGGAAGCAACTGGATATATGGGCCTGGAGCCCAGGAAAAAGATCTGGGCTGAAGATGATGATTGGGTGTTGCCAGCATGGAGACAGAGATGAAGCCATGAGGCAGATGAGGTCACCCAAAGATAGTGTGCTTATTGGGAAGACAACACTACGGAGGACAGAACCATAAGGAAGATCCAATTGGAGTAGTGGGCAAGGCAGAAAGAGCCCATGAATGAGAAGAAGGAGAAGAAGAAGCAGGACACAAAACAATGGTAGGAGAAAAACCAGAAAACAAGGACGGACTTTCATGAAGAAATTTTCTCTGAAGAAGACATACAAATGGGCAGCAAGCACATGAAAAGATGCTCAGCACCATTAGTCATTAGGGAAATGCAAATCAAAACCACAATGAGGTACTTCTTCACACCCACTAGGATGTATGTAATTTTGAAAATGGAAAATAACAAGTGTTGGCTGAGATACAGAGAAATTGAAGTTCCCATCACACATTGCTGGCAGAAATGTAAAATCTTGTAGCCACCTTAGAAAACAGATTGGTGCTTCTTCAGTAAGTCTAACAGAATTACCAAATGACCCTGTAATTCCTCCCCTAGGCATATACCTAAGATAATTTAAACATGATTAAAACAAAGCATGTACACAGATGTTCATATCAGCACTATTTACAATACCCACAAGGTGGAAACAATTCAAATGCCCATTAACTGATGAAGAAGTAAACAAAATTTATACTCATACAATGGAATATTAGTCAGCCATAAAAACAAGAAATTAATTGTTGTTGCATATCACAACTAGATGAACATTAAAATCCATACAGCTAAATCATAGATGCCAGACACAAAAGACCACATATTTCATAACTCTGTTTATATGCAGTACTCAATTCTGTAGAGGCAGAAAGCAGACTCATGCTTGTCAAGTGATGTGGGCAGAGGTCAATGAAAAATAACTACTAACGGGTGTTGAGTTTCTTTTGGGGTCTATGCAAATATTTTGGACTTAGATTATGATATAGGTAACACAACTTGGTCAATGCACGAAATACCACAGAATCGTATAATTGAAACAGTTTAATTGTATCACATGTGAATTGTACCTCAATAAAGTTGTTACCAAACCGAAGAAGGATGCCTTGTCTGGATTGCATTACTGGCTGGTGATGTCGTTTATTGGGGGAGAACAGATGGTGAGGAAGATGGAAAGAAATAGATCCATTCAATGGGACAAATTTGAGCTGCTGACCTCTAAATGAAGATGAGAATAAGAGAGGAAGAGAAATCATAGGATGGTAGAAGCGCCTGTTTTCTCGTAGGTCCACATATAGATTTCATACTGTCATTTCACAAGTATTTAAAAGCTGTCGCTGAGTCTTTGGAGAGCTCGGGATAGGTCATGTAGGGAGGGGTTGGACTTGGACTGGTTTTCTCCTTACTCATCACTGGTGAACCATAGCATTGCTCAGTGATGGATACAGTCTTCTGTAATGCAAACACATCTTCCTGAGTGATCTGACTTTCAGCTGATATGTGTAGCGAATATGTCCACAGCACAGGGGCTGCCTCTCTTCCTTCCACATAACCTGTTTATGACCCTGCCAGGTGCATGCTCTAAGAGGTAGCCAAGGCCTTGACAAGTGTCCACCATTACCTTTAATGGGATAACAGTGGTCGTGGCCCATGTGGCCTCCTAGACAATCCCTCCCTATGTGGTGGATGTGTAGTTCTTCAAAACAGAGCTGGGGCAAGAGAAATAACAACATCAAGCATAATCATTAGAGTTCTAATCTGGATTGAATGGGACTAATGAGGTACATGGTATAAGAGGGAAAAGTCTCATTCCAGGGCGCCCTAGGGTGTATATCAGAAGAGCAACACTTGCCTTGAATTCTGCAGAGGGAAGTAGGTCTGAATTAAGATGACAGGCTGGAGCTCAGGACGGTAGTGACTGTTTGGGAAATGCAATGGTGACAGGACAAGGTGATAGAGTGCTAGGTCTGGGCTGAGTGCAGCTGCAGAGGCCCAGGACTGTCTCACATTGGGTCATGGTGATGTGGAGCAAGAGCTGGTGGCCTGCTTGCAGGTTTCCCTTCTGGTGCTGCCCCGTGGGTTAGGGCTGAGGTCCTAGGTGGAGTCCTTGAAATGCAGACTGCAAAGCAAGAGAACTTGCTAAGGCTGTGAGCTTGAGGATACCTATGTAGATATGAGTGCATTAAATTGTTTCAAGGAGGGAAACTACGAGGCCAGGAGTGGGAGTAGAGTTGGCTCATGCGGCACAGAAATATAGTGGAGGCCATGAAAGTAGATGGGCTCACCAGGGAGGGCACAGAGGAAAAGACAGGGGTCTCAGGTCAGTACCTTGGGAGATGGAAAGGGCTGGCAGAGAAAATGTAGCAGGGAAAGGAAACTGGGTAGTGGCCTGAGTGGCAGGAGGAATGAGGAAGGAAGGAGACAATGCATCACTCAGGCCCTTCATCTTCTCAGCTCTGGCATTGCCTCCCTGCCATCCTAGCCTCACCATCACTGCTTGCTGGAGTTCCCGCATGATGTTGGCTCCCAGAGAGCTCAGGCCATGCTCACGACCAGCCCCAGTGCTCTGACACAAGCTACCTGCCTGGCACTGGGCTAGGGACCATGGTGCACTCAGATACAGAAACTACACAAAGCAAACATATGACTCAGTGAATTCCTGTGAGAGAGATAGCCCTGGAACTACCACCTAGGACATGACATAGAACTTCACCAGCCCCTGCAGATGTTCTTTCACCTGCCCCACCCTAACTATAGTCCCTACCGCAATGTAAGCAACAGCGTCTTCTTTTGTATATAGATAGAACTTTTTTTTCCTGTATTTGTTACAGGGTCTGCAGGATCACACTATGAAGATCGGACTCATAGAGATCCTCCTGTTTTCAGCCTCCCAAGTGCTAGGATTACAGGTGTGTGACACTATGCCCAGTCTCAATCACTGTCTCAGTGCACCCCAGGGGCAGGGCCCACACAGCAGGCAGGGGACGAAACCCCCAGCCCCTGTGTCTGACTAAGCAGGCACTTCAATCCGCTGAGCTATTTGGCTGGCTCTGTATATGGATAGAGACAGTGTGTCTGTTTAAATGAGCAGTTATTTCTTGCTAGGATAATGCTAGGGACTATTGCTGTACTGTATCTCATTGAATTTTCACCACGACCCTATGAACTAGGTACTGTTATAGTCTCTGTTTTAGATAAGCAGAAATTGCACTTTGGGAAGATGCGAAAATGTGTCCAAGGTCGCAGGATGTGAGAGCCAGGATGGCATGCTGCTATATTGGCTTCCCAGTCCATGCTTTCCCTTTCCCTGTCCTATATGCTTTACCTTCCACCTGAGCCCCATGACTAATGCCCTAAGCAAGGCTCCTTGCCAGTCTGCCTGAGCTTGCCTCACTTGGTTAGGGTGGTGGCTGTCGCAGAACTAAATTTAGTGACCTCCCCAGAGGAGCATGGTGAAGCTGGGTAGCATCACTTGCAAAGTGGTTGTAAGAGGCTGACTTACTCTGTGGTCTGAATTAAGCTTTTCTTAGATTCCTTAGAAGAGGTGAAAAGGGAGAGGGAGAGAGAGACACAGAGACAGAGACAGAGACAGAGACAGAGACAGAGACAGACAGAGAGAGACAGAGACAGAGACAGAGACAGAGAGAGACAGAGACAGGGAGACAGGGAGAGAGAGACACAGAGAGAGACAGAGATGGAGGCAGAGACAGGGGGAAAGAGCCAGAGAGCTCACTAACACATCTGCAGCTGCCTATATTCTCCTTGTCATCTGATGCTCATGTCCCGCTATTACCCAATGGGAAAATAAACAGTGAATGGCCACACCAGTTAAAGTGTTTAATTACGTAGGTTGGGAAGAATGACATTTGTGTACATTCCCAGAAGGCATGGATTAAAGAAATGACCTTTCCCTTGGTGTGAAACTAATTTGTTGTGCATTGGAACTCTGATGGCTTCAGTTGGGCCAGGCATTTGTTGCCCGAGTGTTTATGTCTAAGACTGGAGAAGAGGCTGAAGGAAGCTTTGCGTTAGCCTAGATTGATTTGTATATTAAAACGTCACCATCTGAAATATATTTCCAAAGAAGTATCCCTTCCTGTAGCCATTCGTGGTATTTTGTGGATTTATTTAAACACATCAAAAGAAAGAGAAAAATGATCTTTGCTATGAGTCACAGAGTAGGAAAAAATGTCCGCAGATCAATAATAACACAGGGGCATTATTTATGGGACTAGGGCTATTTTTGCAATTAAAAACCATCTGAAACTAGCAAATAGTCATGGAATGAAATGTCAGGCATCACACTATGAAAGGTTTATTAATTACAGTAAATTCTTAATTAACTTCATAATAAAGTTTCTCTGGGGGAGTGCTGACTGTTAGTTAAAAGAGAAACATTCAGATTGTACTCTTTGTCTTCACTCTTATTTTGGTATATATCACAGGCATTTCTGTATTAGTCTAAACATCTGAAGAATGTATAAGTTTCACATAACACGGTAGAGTTCTTGGTTAGTTGGGCTCAATCTCAAGCACCAAAATATAAAACTGAAAAGTACAAGTGCAAATTCACCTTCTCTCTATTTATTTCAGCTCTGGGAACTCTTGGCTGAGTGTTCTTTCTTTATTTTTTTTTTGTATCACTACAAATTTTATTCAGAAACCCATCTTTGTGTTTTTTTTTTTTTGTTGTTGTTGTTGTTTTTTTAAAAAAAATTCCCATTTTATGAACTGGTTTGGTCAATCAACTACAACACTTTCTAGCAGACATACGGTAAAAATGGCATGGCTCAGAATCGCCCCGATCTTTCCCGATCTCTCGACCTCCTCCGGTCTCGCTCCCGACCTCCGCCACCTCCACCACCGCCGCCTCCACCACGACCGCGGTCTCTAGACCGAGAGCGCCGCTCCCGGGACCGGGACCTTGACCTACGCTTCTTGCGGCGTCGCCCGTATAGCTCTTGCCGCAGCTCTCTGGAAATCGGCTTCAGGTGCGTGAAGTTGCAGAAGCCTCCTCGTGTGCACTCCCCCATCTCATACTGACGGCAGCAAGCTTCCCTGAAGTCGGTCACGGGCGAGAGCTCAGCATGGATTGGCTGTCCGTTAAACCAGCGGTTCTTCAGGTCAATCACAGCCTTCTCTGCATCCTCCTCACGGCGAAACTTGACATACACATTCCCCACAAGGTGGTCTCCCAGGTTGTCACAGACGTTCATCTCCTCCACTTCCCCGTACTTCTCCTCCATCTCTGTGAAGACCTCCTCAAAGAACTCATCATAGTGCTCCTGCATCTCCACATCGCTCACAGCACAGCGCAAACCGTCAGCAGACTGGGAAGAGTTTTGAGGGTTACGGTAAATGTTCAAGAGGGCAATGGTCTGGCTAAAGGTCGGTTTATTGTGCAACCGAGAGCATCTGTCTCCATGACGACATGCTCCAATTTTGAAATAAAATGAGCAGTTGACTTTGTCTTTTTCGGTGCCGAAGATGGAGGCCAAATACTCCGCCATTTCCCACAGCTGCGGTCGCCGACCCCTGAGTGTTCTTTATTGAATATATAAAAATCAGTTTAAATATCTCTGTCCATGAGGAAGGACTTCTTGTTACTTTGCACAATCTGAAATTAGAAAAAAAAAGCATGTGGTATTCTGAGCTCCCCAGACCTCCAGTTTCAGGAGGAGAAATAATGATGATCAAATATAATGTGTCCCTGGAGCTTCAGTGACTTCTTTGGCCACCACTAAAGACAGGAAGGGGCCTAATTGTTAGCATGATGAGTTGGAGGCTGTGATTTGGATTTTTTTTTCTAAAATGCTTTTTGGGAGGATAAAAATTGCCAAAGAAAATCTTTATGATGTGTCATTTAAGAAGAGAACGAGTCTATTAGATTCCCCCATAGGCCACAACAGTGGGTTTCTAGTGAAATCAGATCAGATATTTATTTTCAAAAGTATCAAACTCTGAACAAAATATACTCTTCTTAGTTAACACAAAGTTTCTTACACAACAAAATGACTAGCTGCGTAAACATGCCAGCGGCTGTTCATCTGCTTCTAACAGGAATCTCCTTACCCCTGCTCTGGGGGAAGACCATTAGGTTTTAACACCCAAATTGTGCCCTTGCCAGGCCCTGGGTGCCCTGCTTACTTGCCTTCCTTTCTTCCTTCATACTTGTGTACCCCAAGGAGCCCTATCTCCATCCAATCCACTGCCCGGGACACAGTGGTTGCCTAAGGCCATTCCATTTGCCACTATCTAGGCAGCAGTTGCATGGAGCCAAGCCAGGTCCTGTGGCTTCTCTTTGGCTTCAAAGTACTGATGTTGCCTCTTGGACAGTGACTTCAGAGTCAGCCAATTATATTTTACCCTGAGTCGAGCTCCCTGGGAGAGTCTTGAAACTCTTCCTTGTTGGCACTTTTTTTGCTCCCACGTTGGGCTGGAGAGGCTCATAGTAGCTCTGTTTTCCCACACATTCTCAGCGAGCCCCCTTTCTCTCAGAGGACTGTTCCAGTTCTGTTATTCTTGGCCAGCCACAACCAACTCAAATCCACCTTTTTATTATGTTGGCTCCCAGCAGTCCTGTGCAGTTATACTTTCCATGAGAAACCAGCACTGTTGGTACCGGGAATTAAGTAGTTGTAAAAACACACAAGGAAGGTGCAAATTTGGTCATGTTTTATTCAAATAGGTCTGCTTGAAGTCTCATTTCCCTCCCTTCTGAGGCCAGACCAGTATTTCTCAAGGCTACAAAGTTTTCAGATACAGAACTCTGCTTTAAGCTTCACTTATCAGACAATGTCCTTTACTCAAAGGAGCCAAAAGTCAGGTAGCACTTTCTTGTTCTGTGTGTGATGATCACTGGGCCTGTGACAATACTGATACCGTAAGACGGTGGACAGTTATAGAGATAGCTACAGAGACCTTAGCGTTGAAGTCAGTGCTTACAACAGAGTTCACTGGACACGTAACAGTTTCTACCTTGGTTTTGTGGGACAGGATAACCAAGTGTAAATCATGGATAGCTCATGACAGTGGTGGTGACTAATCAGATTTCTTTTAGTTTTACTTTTACATTTTGAGACAGGTTCTCACAGTTGCCTAGTATGTGCTCCTAGAATGTATGCCTGAGTGGTAGACTGTCCAATGCACAGGTCCTCTGGTCTTCAAGGGGGCCACAGAAAGGCTTCACTTGTATATATTTGCCTTAACTTTCTGCTTCCCAGCTAGAGGAAGAAATTGGGTTGGAAGTAAGATCCTTGTTTGCCACTACCCAGACCTTCTAGTATTGTGTTGTGTGAAGAGGAGCAGGACTAGAGCTGCCCCTTCAGTAATAGTTCTCAACCTTTTCTGGAACCATTTGAGTAGACAGTTTTAAAATATATTGATATGTGGGTCTTATTGCCAGATACTAATCTAATTGCTCTAGATTGCTGCTTGCACATTGAGAGCTTTACAATTCTCCTGGTGGTAATAGGGTATAGCCTAAGCCAAGCTAATAAGTTTGGCCTGAGAGTATAGCTCTGTGGTGGAGTGCTTCGCTAATGTCATTGTGTGTATCTACATTTTCCCTACCAAAGAGTCATGTACTGGTGGGTGGGTCTTTTGGGGGCAATTGAATCATGTGGGTGTGATACTTATTATATCTAGCTCTAATTAATGCACTGACAAGTTTATAGCTAAGTGTGCTAAGTACCAGTGAATTCTCTAGCGTATTGGGAGGTGCAGCCTGGTGAGAACTGGTGAGTCACTGTGGGCATTGCCTGGAAGGATAGATATCTCTTCTCTTACTTTTCTACCTCCAGCCTGCCATGGACTATTTCTGTACTGCCATGCCCCTCTACCTTGCCACCCTGCCCTGCAGCCAGCCAACTATGCAGTAAAACCTCTATAAACCATAAGCCAGAATAAACCTTTCCTCCTTTGTGTCAAGTATTTTGACCTATGAACAAGAAAATGTCTAAGATACCTAGCATGAGCAGGCCCTGAGTTAGACAAAAACAAAAGTTTATGCAAAATAGTTTCAGGTTAGCACATTCTAGACTACCTGCCAAGAAGATTTTAGAAGAATCAAGAGTCAATGGCATATGATTTAATCTTACCAATGAGTCTGCTGGAAAGTCTCAGTCCCAAAACAGTTCAGTACTCCTGTGTTCTCCACAAATTCTGTATTTCTATGAAAAGGCATCAAATAATCCACTGTCCCACCCAAGTACTAACCAGGCCTGACCCTGCTTAGCTTCTGAGATCAAACGAGATTGGGCGCATTCAAGGTGGTATGGCCATAGACCAAATAATCCACTTTCTTCTCCTAGGCTCCATAGTCTCATTCTAGGAAACTGAGGTCTCTGCTGATCATTTTGGGTTCCCATCCTTGCTAATTCACAAAGAGAATGAACTTCACCTGGAAGCCAAGTGAAGCCCCCTCCCCCCCATCGAGAGCTTTGCCTGAATTGAGGAACATCTGTACTTGTTTCTTATGGTTGCTGTAATAAATTACCATACTCTTCCTGGCTTAAAAGCCACAAAAACATATTTTCTCACTAATCTGGAGGTCAGATGTCCAAAATCATCACTGATCAAAAATCAATGTATGGGGAGAACTGCACTTCCTTTGCAGCTGCTGGATAAGCATCTCTTCCTGTCACTGTTGGCTTCTTCTGGATACTAACCTTTCTAGAGCTGTAGCCATGTCACTCCCATCTTTGCCACATGGTCCCAATGCCTTCTCTTCTCCTTCTGCATCAAACTTCCATTTGTCTCTCTTATGTTGATGCTTGCAATTGCATGAGTGTCTATCCAGATAATTCAGGATGATCTGTCTATCACAAGACCCATACTTTGAACACATTTGCAAAGACTCCATCCCATATAAAGGAATATTTCCCAGTTCTGGGGGATCAGGATGTGAAAAACCTTCAGATGGCTGTGTTTCAGCCTACCACACTTCCTGAAGACAAGAATGAGTGCTAAAATGGGTGTCATTGGGAAGGCGAGCCAGTGCTGTTGGAGGAGCATGTCCCCAGGAGCTTTTTAAAGCCAGGCGAGGAGACAGGATGCAGAGGTAAGTGGAGGGCTGAGGGCCAGGAATGAAGATAAACATATTGGCCTGGACAGTTGCGCCAGCAGCAGGGCTGCGGGTACACAGGACTAGCTGGAGCAGGCTAGAAGGGTGCCTGTTGCTGGTATATGCTTCCAGGGGCCTCAGAGGAGGAGGAGCCCAAACAGAATCAGTTGGTCGGGAGCGAGCACAAGCCCATGTGAGTGTGTAGAGGCAGCAGTGAAGAGTCCGCTTCCTGAGTGAGTGAAAGAAGGTATGCTCTGAGCTGCCCTCTTGCCTTCGGCTTTAGAAGGGCTTGACCATTTATGCCACCCAGAGGCCTGCTCACATATTCCTTCTTGCTCCATTTATTACCCCATTGCCCACGCCTTTTTTGTTTCAATTTTTATTATTTTTATTAATGTATGTTTGTAGTACATAGTGATTAACTTCCTGTTGGGAAGTTGCTACGGGCACCTAACATATCTAAATTGTTTTTTCATCTTCTCTTCCTGTCCCTCCATCTCTTGGTTTCTTCTTTTTGCAAAAGATTTCTCTTACTATTTCCAACTATCTATTCTAATTTTGCTTTTTATGTATGCTTTGAGTTTCTCATATAAGAGAAATTCTGTGGTACTTAAGCTTGTGTATCTGATTTATTTCCCTTAACATTATGCTTGCATGCTCTTCTTGTAATGCTCCTGTCTGTGACCCCCATGGACAAGCCCGTGTCTCAAACTCAGCTTCTCCAAAGTCAAGTCCATTGCAGCAATGAGGAAAGGTGTGGGTGTGTGTGTGTGTGTGTGTGTGTGTGTGTGTGTGAAAATTTGGGGCTATAGTCACTATGGAAAGGTTTCTCTTCATAGTGAAGAAGATGGGATGAGTATCAAAGCTATTGAGGAAAGAATTTACAGTTTTTGACTTGTGCTGATTTCAGTGACTATTATAATGCACTGGGAAGGATTCTTTTCTTTTCTTTTTCTGGCTGGCTCAGGCTGCTTTAAGAGTGGGTCTTGTGTGCATGTGGAGCTGGGGATTGAACCACAGTCCCCTGCGCCTGACTGGGTTTGCCCAGGAGGCATTTTAAACAACTAAGCTAACACACAAGCTTCCTGCACTGGGGAGTTGTTGGTCAAAATTATTTTTTTCTCTAATTTTTGTTTTTATAGTCACTAATGTTTGTTTTAAAATGTCAAACATCGGTCTGGCGTGATGGCTCAGTGGTCTAAAGCACCTACTTGGAACAAACTTGGCAGAGCACAGGGACCGCGGTTCAATCCCCCAGCACCACATGCCAGCCAGCCCCGCCCCCTGGTGGGCTGAGCTGGCCACACACACACACACACACACACACACACACACCACACTAAATAAATAAATGTTTAAAAAAAATGTCAAACATTGATACTGTATTTAAACCATTATCATTCCAATTCGCCAGAAGGACATGATGGCACCTATTATTCCTCCACTAAACTACTGAATTCATGGC